GCATTTGGCAAATGTTCACCAAGTGTAACTCTGCCTCGTGCTGTGTTCAAACAAAACTCTTCCCCATCGAGTTGATTCCACTTAAAGTCACCCTATAGGACAGGGTAGAACTGCCTTCCTACATTCAGAGACTGTAAACGTCCCCCCCCCCTTTTTTTTCTTTTTTAGCAGTTTCATTGGCACATAGTCTTTTTTGGCAGTTTCATTGGCACATAGTCTACACAATTCAATAGTTCACTGACTCCTCTTTCTCCCACTGCTAGTGGTTTCAAACTGCTGACCTATGGTTAGCAGCGCAAAGCCTTGCAGTCCTGCTCTTGAGGACTTACTATCCTACCAAACCAAAACCATCAAGCCAATTCCCCTGTGGCTTTCTGAGACTGAACTCTACAGGTGGAGAAAGCCTCCTCTGGCCGGTGGTTTCAAGCATGGCCACTACACTACCGCAGAAAGGAACAGAAACAGTTCCAAAGGAACCTGGTCCTGAGGCTTCCCAGAGGAGCTAACCCTTGATCTAATCATTAAAGGCCACAGGAAACCAGACTGGGGGAAGGCCATGTTATGGAAAGGGAACAGAATGTGCATCATGTGGGAGCTTTAAGCAAAGTATGTTTCTTTGCAGCTTCTGTTCCAGGCTCAGAACAAACGCAGCCACGTCTGTGTGTGGAGGGTGAGGCTGGGAGCGGAGGAAAGGAGGCTAGAGAGGTAGCAGGGGCCAACAAGAGACCTTTTATACCATATTAAGAAATGTGGGCTTTTAACCTCAAAGGAGGAGGGAGGAAGGAGGGGCTGTGATCCAGTTCTCACCAGCCTTCACAAAGATCGCTGGGGAATGAAGGGCAGGAAGCCCACCAGAGACCAGGCAGGAACTGCCTGACACACCCCCAGAGCAGATTTTGAAGGGGAGACCAACTTTTCAGGAGTTAGAATCCACAAGATTAGGAGGATCTAGAAAGCGAGCCCGAGAAATCTGGCGTGGGCTCCCGGGTGAACGGAGATCTCTGGTGGGCTTTGGGGGAGCCTCAGAGATGGGTTTAGCGTCCCCTCCAGTGAGGTCTAGTCTGCTCCAATCTAGCAGGCCCACAAACTAAGCAGGTCCCAATGCCTTTCTGTGCTCCCTTCCCCCGCCCCCCCAGCCCGGCCCAGGGTTCCCACGGTCCCATCACCACCCGGTCTCGCACCGGCTGCCCCAGCCCCTAGGGATGCTCCCTTCTCCGCAGGGCGGTGACTACTGCCCCTCCCCAAGCCTGCCCCGGGACAAAAAGCCAAACAGCCCAGGGACCCCGTC